CGGAGGGCTTGATGGTGAAGTAGACTTGGTTGATGGGGCCGAGGACTTCGTCGATCTTGCCAATGGAGGTCTGCGGGGCCGTGTGTCAGTCGGTGCTTGCTTGGAGAAGACGAGCCAGGCGCGCTGGCATGCAGAGGGGGGATGCTGACCTTGTTCTCGAGGAACATCTGGGCGTTGAACTGGGGTACCTTGGGGTTGATGCTCTCGCAGACCATCTCACCCTCGCAGGCGTGCAGGAACTTGCCCATCTCTGCGAACCCCATGTTGTCAGTTTCTGGTTGCTCGCTCGAGAGTGGCTCTCGCCCGGGGGAGGGAAGGGATTCATGTCGCACCTAGGACTTGCGCCGGGGGACCCATGTCGCGTTGCTGGAAACCTCCACGGCCTGTGAAGCTCTCACGTTAGTCGGCCTGATCTTGCTTGCATTGTCTGGTTCTCCATGTGTTGGTGCTGCTGCCGGAGGGGGGTTCTGCAGTCAATTCGTACCTCCACCCACGACCGCCCGAATCCGCGGGGCGCACCGCGACCGCCTCGGAATGACATTGCGTCTGTTTTGTTTTTCGTTCTTTCGTTTCTGGTCGTGAAGATGTGCGTTGGGCAGCGTTGGGGTGATTTCTTTGCAAGCTGCTCGCCGTGTCGTTGCGTGCCTGCTTGCCTGCTTGCTTGCTTTCGGAGCTAGCTATCGAGGCTTCGACAGAAAATTTCCAATGCCCAAAAGTTCAATTGTGGTGCCGAAAAGCAGCCTCTGATTGGGCGGGGGGCCGGTCGGGGAAAAGCTATTCGCCGAAGGAGCCTCAGTGGTAACGATTATAACTGGGGAGGTGGGGTCCATCTGAGATGCCTGGCTGCCGGCACCTGGCTCGAGGAACGGAAGTGGACCCCCCGGCTGGCAGACTGGCAGAGGACGAGAGAGGGAAAACCCCCACTACGGTCAACTACAGCATCTGCCCGTGCACCGTATTTGGCGGAAACACGACCCCTCCTTCACTTGCCTTGCAGCTTTTGGCGGGGTGACTCGAAATCGTCCTCCGTGGTTGTGTTGAATCAGCCCAAAATATTTCCAGCACTCATCCTCCACCCCCCTTTCCGCAACAACTCTCAACGCCCACCCTTCTCACCCACCGCTCCGAATTCGACGCCAATCGAACGCCGCCATGGAGGAAGCGAAGAAGGCCGTCGAGTCCATCACCGAGGGCGTCAAGAAGGTCGTTGTCGGTGCCGGTGCCGGTGCCACCCCGAATAACAACAAGGACAACAAGCCCAAGAAGGAGAAGAAGGCCAAGGGCGGTGACGATGCCGCCTCGGCTGGACCCCTCGAGCTCAAGCCCGCCCCCGATTTCCTGCAGTCCCGTATTGAGCTGTTCGACCGCCTGAAGAAGCGACAAGATGAGGAGATCGCCGCCAAGGAGCGCAAGCCCATCGAGATCACCATGCCCGACGGCACCATCAAGGCCGGCACCAGCTGGGAGACCACGCCCGGCGAGATTGCCAAGGGCATCTCCAACAGCCTGTACAAGCGCACCGTCGTCGCCAGGCTGAACAAGGACCCCAACCAGCTGTGGGACCTCGACAGGCCGCTCGAGGCCAGCTGCAAGCTCGAGCTCCTCAACTTTGACGACGAGCAGGGCAAGCAGGTCTTCTGGCACAGCTCGGCGCATATTCTCGGCGAGGCCTGCGAGAGGCGGTTCGGTTGCTCCCTCTGCATCGGCCCCCCCGTCGACAACGGTTTCTACTACGAGATGGCCCTCCCCGGTGGTGCGTCCGTCCAGGCCAGCGACTGGAAGCCCCTCGAGTCCATCGTCGGCTCCATCGTCAAGGAGAAGCAGAAGTTTGAGAGGCTGGAGATGACCAAGGATGAGCTGCTCGAGATGTTCAGCTACAACAAGTACAAGCAGCACATCATCAAGGACAAGATTGCCGACGGCACAAAGACGACCGTCTACCGCAACGGCCCCCTGATCGATCTGTGCCGTGGCCCCCACGTGCCCAGCACCGAGCGCATCGAGGCTTTCAGCATCATGAAGAACAGTGCCTCCTACTTCCTCGGTTCCCAGGAGAACGACTCTCTCCAGCGTGTGTACGGTGTCAGTTTCCCCAGCAAGAAGGAGCTTGCTGCCCACAAGAAGTGGCTCGAGGAGGCGGCGGCGAGAGACCACCGCAAGCTCGGAGAGCAGCAGCAGCTCTTCTTCTTCCACGAGCTCTCGCCCGGCAGCGCCATGTGGCTGCCTCATGGTGCTCGCATCTACAACACCCTCATGGCCTACATCAAGGAGCAATACTTCAAGCGCGACTACCACGAGGTCATCACGCCAAACATGTACAACTCTGATCTCGTAAGCTTACCATTGGTTCTCGCATCTGGCGATCACAACACTGACTCGAGCCTCTAGTGGAAAGTCAGCGGCCATTGGGCGCATTACAAGGACGACATGTTCGTCATGGACGTCGACAAGGAGCAGTTTGCGCTGAAGCCCATGAACTGCCCCGGTCACTGCCTGATGTTCGGCCACGCCCCCAAGGCGTACCACCAGCTGCCCTGGAGGGTCGCCGACTTTGGCGTCCTTCACCGAAACGAGGCCAGCGGTGCCCTGTCTGGTCTCACGCGCGTGCGCCGTTTCCAGCAGGACGACGCCCACATCTTCTGCAGAGAAGACCAGATTGGTGAGCGCCCCACCAGAGGCGGTGCATCCTGGACCGATTACTGACGCGGATGTGTAGGCCAGGAGATCACCAACCTGTTTGACTTCCTGAGGTCCATGTACTCTCTTCTCGGCTTCACCTACAAGCTCCGTCTCTCCACGCGCCCCGACAAGTTCATGGGTGAGCGCGCCACGTGGGACAGGGCAGAGGACATGCTGAAGGTCGCCCTTGACGAGTTTGCCGCCACCGAGGGTGGCGTCGCTTGGGAGCTCAACGAGGGTGACGGCGCTTTCTACGGACCCAAGATCGACATCAAGATTCTGGACTGCCTGAACCGCGAGTGGCAGGTATGTCGACGCCCATGTGCCCTTTGAGAAAGAGAACACCCGTGAAGCTGACTCGGTCACAGTGCGCCACCATCCAGCTGGATTTCCAGCTGCCCATTGTAAGTTTCTCCCCCCATTGACGACGCTGCGTGGCGTCGGTGCTGACCATATCAGAACTTTGGCCTCGAGTACGTCACGGCCGATTCCGCCGCCAAGACAAAGGAGGACGCTGCGATAAAGGGCCCCGAAGTCAAGGCCAAGGAGCCTGAGGCTGTTGTCGAGTCTGCCGCCGCCGCCGCCGCTCCTGCCGCCGCCGACGGCAAGGAGCCTGCGAAAAAGCAGCTGCGCATGTCCAAGCCTCTGACGTGGAAGCGCCCGCCCCGTCATCATCCACCGCGCCATGGCCGGCAGCATTGAGCGCTTCACGGGTGAGTGGACCCGGGAACTGCAGGCAGCACACTTTAGCCGTGGACTGACAAATCTCCAGGTATCCTGATTGAGCACTTTGGCGGCAAGTGGCCCATGTGGCTCAGCCCTCGCCAGATCCAGATCATCCCCGTCGGCCGCGGCTTCTTCGAGTACGCCGAGGAGGTGCAGAAGATCTTCAAGGACGCCGGCTTCTGGGTCGACGTCGACCTGTCCGGCGAGACGCTGCAGAAGAAGGTCCGCCGCGCGCAGCTGGCCCAGTACAACTTTGTCTTCAGTACGTTCTCCGTCCTTTTTGCCGCACCGCACCTTGCGCTCCGGGAGACCGGCCTTCGTGCACGCAAAGACCGCCCCCCCATCCCCGTGACGTGACATGAAGTATGGAAGCAGCAGCTGACCACCGCCAGTCGTCGGTGACGAGGAGATGAAGGGCCGCCAGGTCAACGTGCGCTACCGCGACGACACGTCGAGCCAGGACCGCGGCAAGCCCGTCGACGTCAACGAGGCCATCACCAAGCTCAAGGAGCTGCGCGACTCGCGCCTCGTCTACAACCCCTGGCCGTCGGCGAAGCCTGCCGCGCCGGAGGCGAAGAAGGCCTGAGCGGCAGGACGGCAGGCTTTTGTGTCTAGATCGCGGAGAGGCAGGGCGTCGTGGGAAGCGCTGGGGGCGCAGGGGTTGCGTTATCTTGCATTCGCCATGGACGGTGGGCGGTAGATGAAAGAAAAAGCAATGAAGATGATGAATTGACATGTGAAGATGACTTGCGTTTTGGTGGTTGTGCTTGTCGGTTTGTTCGGCATGCTGTGGTCTTGGTTCGTCACGGCTGCTGTGACATGCTTGGTCGGTGTTCCGGTTGTTGTGACATGCATGCGTTGATGTTCTGGCAGCTCCTGAAGGCAAGCAACAAATCCCTCTCCAGGCGTCCCGAATTCACCAGTCCTTTCTGAAACATCCCTTCGCTGTCGCTCACGCTCACGCTCACGCCGCCAGTCTCAGTCTCAGGGTATCATGCATTTTGTATTATCTGCCGCACAGCCAGCCAGCCGGGAAAAAACTACGACACACCTCCAATCCACGCAACGATTTCAAACATGTCCGCTTGACAACAGAGCCATGACGTCAGGGAGGCGACCAGGAGATCGAGGCCATTCCCTGCCACGGTCCGCTAACCTACAGTCTCCATCTGTGTGCCCGCCGCGTACCGTGTGCTGTGCCAGCTTCCTCGCCGCCTCGCGTTCCGATCCCACTGTTTTTGCTTTGCCATGTTATAAGAGAGAGAGAGAGAGAGAAAATAACGCAATTTGTTTCTGCCCAGTCCGTCACGCCACGCCGAAAGGGAAAGGGGAGAAAAGTCATGAGGGTGAAATAGACAAAGAGTGCCAAATGCCCAAACCCAGGGTCAGGTTCGGAGCAGGGAGTTGAATCCCCGTGTTGACGGATCTCCCCCCGCTCAAGGCTTCGGTATGCGGATGCGGCGGCTCGTCATGAGGCAGCCGTGGACGACGAAGAGGAGGGCGACGGGGTGGAACTCAAGGAAGGAGCCGGCGAAGAGGGTGCCGAGTGGCAGCTTGTCGAGGACGGCACCGGTGTAGATCCAGTAGGCCATGACGCTGTCGGTGGCGAGCGACGTGGGGATCGGGGTGCCCTCAAAGTACTGGCTCTTGCCGCTCGCGTCCTTGGGCAGCACGGCGACGGTGACGTTGAAGCGGGCGAGGCGCGTGAGGCCGCAGAGGACGAAAAAGGTCAGGAGCAGGCGGTCGAGCGGCGTGCGCAGGCCGAGGGCGTAGGCGGCCGACGCTGGGGCGACGCCGAATGAGATGAGGTCGGCGAGCGAGTCGAGCTCCTGGCCCATGAGGGACGACTTTTTGCGCCAGCGCGCCACCTTGCCGTCCATGAAGTCGAAGAACAGACCGAACGGCAGGAAGAAGAGGGCGAGGTACATGGTCGAGAGGTCGGCCGGGTCGCCTAGGCAGTAGCTGAGGGAGGTGAAAATCGAGAGCGTTCCGCAGGCGCCTGTGACACATCAGTGAGTATGATTTTCTGGGGAAAGATATATCGCCAGCACTGTTGGCCAACAGCCGAGGAAGCATACCATTGCACAGAGTGATGAGGTCAGCCAGGTGCATCGCTCGGATGAGAGAAAAATGGCCTGTCTCAGAGGAGAGAAGAAGCTTCTGCTTGTCCTCGCTGCATCGCCAGTTAGCACACAGACATCGTGGCACGGGCGAGAGGTGGACGTGGAAGCGACGTACCAGGCGTGCTCACGTCACCGCCCTCCTTCAGGCTGCCGTTGGTCACGGCGCTGCTTGTTCGTTTCGACATGTTCTTTTTTTTGGGCTGACAATGCGGTGAGTGTGTGAGTAGTGTGTGAGGATTGAGGTGGACAGTCGGTAGATGGTCAAGGTGGTGTGTCGTTGAGCTGTGCGCTGGTGTTGGCGGGAGACAAGCCTTGCTTTGACGTTGACGGAGGAAGGCCAAGTTTTTGTGCGGTCACCAGAGGGAACTGGATGCAGGATGCGAAATGTCGATGAAGTGGCAGGTCGTCACAATCGCTTCGCTTCGGCAGGCACTATGCCGTCATCGGTCCGGCCGCTTCAGTCCCAAACTCGACTAGCGTCATTCGCCCGCAAACCGTCCGCCAGCCTCAGCCACAGACAGCGACGAACACGAGCACGTACACACTGCTCACCAAGTGTTGATCTGCATGACAGTAACAGGATACAGGTAGTCTATCTTCATGCACATTCTCTACAGTTGTGGTGCTATTGTGGGTGGACTGTATGGACAGTACGGGACGAGCTCAGCCGGCTCGTACCCTCTTGGTAAACAAGAGGAAGAGGAAGAAGAAGACATGATAAAAAAAACACAATGAGACACCTATCGAAGCCATCATATCCAGGTGCCTGTTTCCCCCTAAACGCCGCATGTGCTGTTCTATACCGTAATGCTTGTTGCCTGCTTGCTTGCTTGCTTACTGCCACGGGAATCCGGGCTCGTACCATTTCATTCCAATCCGAGACCATACCAAACCAGCCAGTGATCCAGGCCTGTACCGCATTTAACAGACAAGATGATATTAAGTGGGAGCCGTGTCCCGTCGATTGGCACATATCCCAACTGGTTGGTGTCCAGGGTCTATAGTCATGACCGACCGTGTCGTGAGGAAACATGTGTCCCTGCACACAAAAGAAAAAGGAGCTGTATGGGCTCAAGTCGACCGCAGCATGTGCTTCTTGGCTTGCCCTCGGGCTATGTATCGGCATGTGCTTTGCTCACCGGACAATGATCAATCCGAGAGAGTCGAGCTGGGAGCTGCTCGACCCAGAGACGCCGCAGACTGTGTAACCAGTAGGGCAGAGCAAGTTTGTCCTGCGCCATCCTGTTAGTCGTGTTTGCTTGTGCATCTGCAGTGGCACACTTACATATGGCCGCCCTGAGGGTTGCCGTACACGAGGGACATTTCGCCCAAGCTTGTGATGACCGCAAGACCTTGAATCGACTCGCCAGCCCTGATGTGGAATCCGGTGATGTATTCGCCCCGTCGAATGTCTGTGCACTTGTTAGCCTTGACCCATGCCACCGTGGCTTCCCGCCTAGAGTAATACTGACCAAAACTGAAAGTGTCGCCACCCTCCTTGCCTGCTCTCGTTCCCAGAAGCTGTGTCGAGGTGTCTTCATAGATGAACTCGATCCCATGCACTGTTGTGGGGTCGTGGTACACAACGACACGGAGGAGCAGCCTACCCTCGCGTTGGATCACAACCTCCTGCGCTTCGCTGCCCTCCCTCGCTGGAGACCCCACGGGCAGACTTCGATAGGCGATCCGGCTCAATGGTCCAGGTGCCAGTGGGCCAGTCAGCTTGAGGGACGACTCCTTGGAGCAGAGCCTCTTCAGATCGTCAATCATCAGACTACCTCCGCCGCCCGAAAGAGCTCGTAGGCGAACATGGCCTTTACGGATGGCTTCAGGGAGGCGCTCCCTGATCTGCAGCTCGCTGAGGACCTGCTGCTTTGGGAGACCCTCTCTCGTGCCGTAATCGATCCAGTGGTGGCAAACGGTCTCCCCCTCGCCTAGAATCTCGATCGCCACGACACCCGTCTTGGCCGTCAGCACAATTTGGTTCCCTTCGATGGGAAAGGCGTTCATGCTATCGTCGACGTGACAAGGTCGATCGTTCGGCAGCCTGAAGCAGGGATGCCAGCGGAACCGGAGACAGTCGAGGAAGTGCCATGAACACTCATCTTTGCTTAGAACGAGCCCGCCCTTTGACTTGGTTCTGGTGGAGAAAGATTCCCGGGCGACAAAACTGCGTCCGAATGTCAAGAAATCGTTGCTCATGATGCCCGTCTCCCTTTCGGTACATCCAAACATGCGGCCGATTTCCTTCAGGTGCCCTCCTAGACCAGCATTGGCAGCTTCCCAGGAGCTCCCAGCCTCGCTCGAAACAGCATCCGTATCTAGCCGTGTACAGTCGAGGAAGGAGTCGCCGACTTCATCGAGGCTGCTCGGGTAACTCTGTAGGAACTGCGAGCCAAAGACAGCTAGATTGAGGTCTCCAACTGAACCGCCGTGTGCGACGTGGCCTGTCACTGCACCAGCCGCCTTGTCCCAGTGCGCGTCAAGCAGCAAGACTGAGACATATTGCTTCTGGCCCGGCAGAGGCTTGAAGTAGTCATTGACAGCTTCGGCAGCCACATGGAACAGTCCATTTTTGTTAGCGCCTTCGGTTGTCTGCTGCGCAGATTGCAATTCGCGGAGTTCAGCAACCGTCTTCTCGGACCGAATTATGTGAACTCTGGCTTCACGGCGCATCTTGCCCTGCATGCGATCCTGTTGGTGCGACGTGCTGCCGGTCCACTCTTCTTCGAATCCAAAGCTTCGAGGACCCATCTTCTGGCGCACCATTTGTTCCCCGGTGAAAGCGTGCCAGAGATACGCTGCCATGCGGTACTTTCGTACAGCAGCATCGAGGCCGTTCCCTTCCACTGCGATGCGCGCAGGCACAGAGTCGAACGTCTCGGGCGAGTCTTTCGCCAAGAGAACGGCGAGTTGCAAGGGCGCATTGTATGGTGGCGTCATGTTAATGGTAAGATAGGTCGAGTGGAGCCTGTTGCTGTTCGAGCTGTTCGAAAGCTTGGGGCTAGAAAAGTCGAATCGGAGTCTGTTGGGACCTGGCTGGAGGTAGATGACGGCTTTCCAGTGAGAGTCGCAGACCTTCCATTCCGTCGGAGGGAACTGGTCGTCTTCACGGGTCACGGTGACGACGCCTTCAATGGTGTGTTGAGACGGGTCTCCGATCGTGCCGTACACGCAGAAGAACTTTTGGTAGACCTGCACATCGATTGTCAGCACGAAGAACTTTTACACGCATACGGACATGGTGTCGTGATGCGCTCCGTTGGACGGTGCGTTGACGTTTCTGAGCGGCCAGCTGAGAAAACATACATGAGCATTGTTAGGAGCATTGACAATTCGAGGTGCGTAGTGCGACACAGGTAGGTTTGATTTGCCATTGAGAACGGGAGAGCCCAAGCCGCTCATGCCGGAGACACTATAACGACTCGAGGCTGGCAATGGCTGTGGAGAAGGGCGGGCGTTTGGGTTGATGTTCT